CGGGGGTGGTCGTGTTTGGGTGCACGCCGAGGGGCGAGGGGCGAGGCGCCCTCGGAGGTGGGGGCGGGGTGCCCCGAGGGCGGGCCCGGGGTCTGACGGGGTGTCGCGGGGCCGGCGGCGGGAGGCAGGGCAGCTGGAGGAGCCTCGCCGGGCGCACACGGCGCTTGGTGTCGGGGGGCGGTGGTGGACGTCACCTCCTTGAAAGTTGAAGGAGTTCCCTGGGGGCCCGGAGCTTCTCCGGGGCGGAACGCCGGCGGGCCGGTCATCTTGCGCTCCGAGGCCGGGGTCTCCTTGAAGGGATTGACCCCCCGTGCGGGGGGCGCTCTGCGCTGCGGGACTTGAAGAAGTTCCCCCACTTCTGCTTTGGGAGAAGGTTCGTCTAACGGGGCGGAACGTGTGGGTCCGAACTCGCCGTGTGTGTAAATGTCAGTGGCGGGGTCGGGGTTTGGGGCGGGCCAGGGAGGTGGCCGGGGGCACCTGCGGGTGCGGACCCCGGACCCTGCGTGGAAACGTTGCGGGGCTGCGGGGGGGAACCATTCGCTCGCTGCCCCCCGGACATCCAAGCGGGTCCCGGCTCGCAGGGAGGATTTTGTGTGATGGGAACTTTGCCTTTTAGTTCAATATCATTTGTCTTGGAACAGCGATAATTAAATTAGTAGGTGACACAGTACAAACAACTTTGGAAAAGGTGAGCATTTCTGAATTAGAAAAGCAGTTTTTTTCCCTCCCCCGTGAAAGTGTCGACTTGAAGTGTGATTCCCGAGATAGGAAGTCAGCCTCCTGTCATGGTCAAGTAGCGAACCGTGTGTAGATTGAATAGCAGCATAGGGTTAACTTGCATTTTAGTTTACAATGAGATTGGCATTCTAGTAAATGTGCTATCAGAGAGGCCTGCTGTGATGTGGTAATAATACATGTGTTTTAAAACAAATGTTGTCTAAAAGTCTTCAAGTTTTTTTGTTTGTTTGTTTGTTTTAATGCGCCACATGTTCCCCTTGTGTCTTGATCTATTACTATATGGAGAGAAGGTTCTCTAAAGCTGTGACTAGGTGTACATTACACAAGAGTACTTTCCCTTTAAGAATCCAGCTGTGTTGTTTTGGCAACTGCCAAGTACTCCAGTTGTCAGTTTTAAAATCTGTTACCTTGGCAGTACTTGAACAAGTCCGTCTGTGGAAAAGGTAAACAACACAGCTTAAAAAAAAATTTTTTTTTTTTAAACACAAAGATGGCATTTATTTTAAAAATATGAATCGAGGAAGTGAATAAAATAACTATTGTGTTACTGCTTTTGTATGTCCATTTTTTGGTTTTGGGTTATTTGAGGGGGTTTATTTTTGGAGGATTTAGTCTTTACTCTTATTTAACTCTGTATGGTAACTTTTGTTTTAGGAAAAAAGTCAAAATGTTTTCACTGCAGTGGATGCCAGTTTTAGTTGGACTTTATATCACATGTAATGAACACATGTTAGGTGTCATGTAAAATATTAAGATTAGTTTGTTGTATATGATGATACACTAATTGATTCTGGAATCACTTTCAGTTCTCAGTGAGCATTATTGTAAAAAATTGTGATAATGGTGTTACAATGAAAATACTCCAACGACTTTGTAGACTGTCTTTAGATGGACAATTCTTTTGCAAGAGTATTTCCAATAGAAACTTAATTACTAAAGCAGTCAAGATTGTGACTAGGGCCCTGCCTAAACAAATTTGCTTTTCTGTTTCATTTAATTCACACTATTATATATGTATAAAGCTATGGTTTTATTCATATTGGAACACAGGTGATAAAATTATATTTAACTCAAATTACTTCCCAGAAAAAGTTTTAAAAAATTTAAACTATTGAGGGGAGTGAGTGGTAAGGGTTGTTCAGTGGAAGGAAATTAGCTCATTTGGGCTCAGAAATAATAATTGTAATGTCACCATGTTGAATTATGGTTGGAGAATAACCTTCCATATTGTTAGAGTTTTTACATTTCCTTAATGGGTATGTGTGACAAAGATTGTTTTTTGTAAATACAATTGGAAATAATCTTGTAAAGATCTTGAGTTTCCAGTGGTGTTTGTTTTTTCAAAACAGTAACGTTCCAGCTTTGCATATTCCATTTAGAATGCTGTGCAGGTTAATATTAATTTTATTGTTCAAGCAGTAGCAACATCATTCATTAATTATTTGGTTACCAAGAGAAATATTCAGGTGTATTCTGGGTGGTTAAGTAATTATGGAAATGTTTATTAGAACATGATTTTGAAGTTTGAAAAAGTTCGATTAAATCTGTTTAGTAGATTTGTGTCCTGATTTAGGAGGAAGCTGTAGGCAAATTTGTTATTTGGAAGTAGCATGCTTGTCAGTCAGGTTTTGGAAAGCCACCTTTCCCCCCTCCCTTTGCTGCTGTTGGTAAGAGAAGTTGAGTGTAACATACAATAATGATGGTCCTGGATTGTCTGTGGGCATTTCTCATTTCATTTATTCTGTCTTGTAATCAGACCATGCTCCCATCTTTTGTTTTAGAATATGTATATATGTATGTGTATGTGTGTATACGTATATATATACACACACACACTCGATACATAAGAATGTTACAGAGTCTAGCTGAAGTTTATTAATAATAAGGCAATGAAAATGCTGCTTTGTGGATTGAAAATGCTTTTTTCTAGATTAGGAAGAAAATCTGTGAACATTCTTAGTAAATGGAGGAGTGCCCTCTCAATGTTTAATAAGAGAAGTATAAATATGGAAAATCAAATCACTCTTTCAGTTAGATCACCTGCAGAAGAACACTTTAATACGTGCTGATTTTCAAGTCTTTATAAAGGAAGGCCTTGACTTTGTCATCAGATCTAGGTTCAGATCTCAGCTTCACCACTGACAAAGTTATGAGACATTTTCTGTAAAACAGAAGGAACTGTTTCTTGGAATTGTTAGAATTAAATGCAATAATTAACAAAAATGTGAAATTTTGTAGCACCCTGCCTGAGGCTTAATGTACAAACATGAGTATTTCCTCATCTCCCTTCATCTCTTCCTCCATACATCTCTTCCTATGAAGATTATGTAGGTGCTCTGCCTAGGTCCTGTACATTTGGTGTCTGTGACCAAAAGGACTTCGTATAATGTATAAATACAAGAGAATGTGCATGTATTTGTTTGGGATACAGTATTTTTGTGTTTTAAATTCATTGTCAGATTATACATAAAATGTTTAGTTACCTGTTCTACATTAGGTTTTTGATCTGCAACCATTGTTTGAGTGTCACCTCCATAATCTCCCCAAATATTAAAAAAGAGTTAGAATTAAATATAAATATTTTCCCTATTCTTCGGTGAAATATGTCCTTTAAGAATTATCTGTGGGTGTTGTCTTCAAGATACAATAATTAAAATTTGAAATTACAAAACTATTTTTATAACATACCTGGACTAAATATATTTTTAAAATAGATTTTCTTTAGTAGGTAATCTATAATTGTTTATACTTAATTTTACCTGCTCTGTGGAACTAAATGATTTTATCTGTGTATGCTTTACCTATGTACTCTATAATATATGGACCCTGTGTCCAGTTTATTATAATTGAGTGTAAACTTATTTGTTAATAAGTCTCGTGCCTAGCATGGGATGTGTATTGGCACACATTTAATAAACACTGTATTTTTATATAGATGTTTGTTATTTATTGAATAATTATATTTACTGAATTTAATTGATAGTTATTGAACTTAATATTTTATTTAATATCAGATTATCTTAGCAATCACTTGAGATGCAACCATAAACATGTAAGTTCAAAATTAGCTGGTTTGTGGGGTGGAATACCAATATCTGAACATTGGTGTACGACAGCCGGTAATTTACTTCTTCAGTTCAATAACCGATGACGCTGAAAGGGTGAGGAATTACTAACGTAGGTGAAAAACAGATACTAGCCAATCAGACTTCTAATAAACATCAACCAAGGCACATCTTTTTATGGTTGTCTTGAATCAATACTAATTTTATTTTCTTCCTTATACAGAAATACAAACTTTATGAACTTAAACTCAACCTTCAGTAAAGTTGTATGTTTTGAGAAATATTTTGGTAGTGGGTGGTAAATTTGTACTGTGTGAGCTGGACCCCTCTCCCAGGTTATTTTTGTTACCAGCAGCATATGTAGGCTGACTTGGATTAGTTTGAGTTATGATTTGTGACCCTTCATTCAGCCTGGTAAGATAACTTGTAACTGTGGGCTTATTGAAACAAGGTACTCTTGTGCTGACTAATACTGTATTCGCCTGTCTCACCTCTTATGCCCACCATTTTTTACATAGAGACTGGAACTATATTTCTAACATTTAGATCTAAATGTGACTCTTCTTTGAAGAAAAACTTTGAAGGCATAGGAATTCAGTAGAGAGGCAGTCATGTAAAGGACGAGGTTGGCCTCTAAAATCAGACGCCTCAGAATACCCACTCTGGCACTTTGTGTTCTTTGGCAAGTTCTCCATCTTCTTGAAGCTCAGTGTATAAAATAGTGTTTATAGTATTATTTACTTCATAGAGTTGTCGAGAGGATTAAATGAGATGTCTTATCAAGCCTTTAGCTTGGTACCTGAAATGCAGTAAATTTTGTTCCCTACCACCACTATCATCACTACTGTGGCTGTTGCTGTTGTTTGAATCATGATTTACTCCATAATAGGATTCTGTCCTATCTTCCCAGGCTCACTCCCCTTCAATGTATGACCCACTTTAGGC